TATCAGGTCAACAAAACATGGGCATAGTAACAATATTTTTATACTACATTTATCCATTTTAAATATACTAACTTCACTCCTTTGTAACAACTAAGGCAAAAACATAATTAATTCAGAAAATCTTTTCAGGACCCCACCTTGATGTTTCGGGACCCCAACTTTGGTTGGTTTACTCACTGCTGTAAGATATTCACACAAATTTCTCATCAAATGTAACAGAAAAACAGCTTTCTCTTCAACCTACTTGATCGATTTAAGCTTTTAGCCTGTAATTCTCTGACAAAACCAAATCTAAACTTGGTTTCCAGCAGTTTATCAAATTAAAATTTGTTTTTCTTTAATGGTTAGTTTCTAGTTTTACTGGTTGCAGGCTGATAAGATGTCTTCCTGTAAGAAAACTAATAATTTATTTTCAATGTTGTTCCCACTAATCTGCTAATAGCAGACCAAGCTTCTAATTTAGTGGCTTAGCTTTTGTGCTAACCAAACTGAAACTTCCCAAGTGTAAAACTTCTATTTTTACGCTGTTTATTCAGAATCAAATAAAAACTATCCCCTTTTACAAGCAATGCTAGGCACCATGGGATAGCTTGTAGCAACTTCAAACTAAGAGCGCCAAAAAGAAATAAAATGACATTTAACATTATTAACATAACAAATACAAAACTTGACTGTATAAAATATGGGAGAGGAAGTATTTGTTTGACTAAAAAATATTTATGAAAATACTAACTTGATCAAAGAAATGCTTTTATTCTGAAAGGGGTAAACTGGATGTATCACAAGACAGAGCTATAGCTCTTATTTGGATCGGCTGATTTGCTACAAATGATTTTGCCCACCTTCAAATTTAAACAATAGAAAATTGACAGCAGCAGTCATCTTAGCTGTTAGCATTAGCTTCAACCAATTTTTTAGCGGATTGGCGTTAGCGTAGCTAAGATTCTTGTTTATTGGATCAGTGGTTTGTTAGCATTAGCTTCAACTAATTTTTTAGCGGATTGGCGTTAGCGGAGCTAAGATTCTTATGGATCAGTGGTTTGTGAATCAAACTGTTTGGTTAGCTGTTCCCACTACTGATTGTTGTTGTTGTTTTCAGGATGACAGGAACTCCTCCTCCAACAAGGAGACTTTGGATGACCTGTTTCCTGCTGAGGATGAGGAGCAGTCACAGAGTAAGGTTCTGCTGAGCTTTGACACGTGGCTTTTGTTCATTTTAAGTTAAACAGAAAAAATGAAAATTGTTCAAACGTTTGACTTAATCTTTTATTTCTTGTATTAAAAAATGTATTTTTCAGTGTCCCAGCCTCACCACAGCAGCGCGGCGGCCGCGGCTCATCAGGGCGGGTACGAGATCCCCGCCCGCCTGCGAACGCTCCACAACCTGGTGATCCAGTACGCGTCTCAGGGTCGGTACGAGGTCGCCGTTCCCCTCTGCAAGCAGGTGAGTCGGGCTGCCACCTTGATCCGACCAACGTGAACCAAAACGCTCCGTTACCTGATAAGTCAAACCTTTCGACAGGCTCTGGAAGACCTGGAGAAGTCCTCTGGCCACACCCACCCTGACGTGGCCACCATGCTGAACATCCTGGCGCTGGTGTACAGGTGAGGAGGGTTGCCATGGCAACAGGGAGTTACACTAAACCACACTTGTTTTTCTTCTGTTACTTTAAGCTTTGAGTTAGCTTTTTGACATTTTATCTTTTAGCTAGTTTTTTGCTACAATTGTTGTGTTTAGTAGTTTTAACTCTTTTTCTTTTTAGCATTTAGCTAGTGTTCTGCTTGTTTTAGCTCGTTCTGCTTCTCAGCTTCTGTTTTGTTGTTTTAGCTAGCACTTTTCTTCGTTTAGCAAGTGCTCTGCTCTGTTTAGCTAGCACTCTGTTCCGTTTAGCTAGCACTCTGTTCTGTTTAGCTAGCACTCTGTTCTGTTTAGCTAGCACTCTGTTCCGTTTAGCTAGCACTCTGCTTTGTTTAGCCAGCGCTCTGCTTTGTTTAGCCAGCGCTCTGCTTTGTTTAGCTAGCANCCAGCGCTCTGCTTTGTTTAGCCAGCGCTCTGCTTTGTTTAGCTAGCACTCTGTTCCATTTAGCTAGCACTCTGTTCCGTTTAGCTAGCACTCTGTTCTGTTTAGCTAGCGCTCTGTTCTGTTTAGCTAGCTCTCTGTTCTGTTTAGCTAGTGCTCTGTTTTGTTTAGCTAGCACTCTGCTTTGTTTAGCTAGCACTCTGCTTTGTTTAGCTAGCGCTCTGCTTTGCTTAGCTAGCACTCTGTTCCATTTAGCTAGCACTCTGTTCTGTTTAGCTAGCACTCTGTTCTGTTTAGCTAGCGCTCTGCTTTGTTTAGCTAGCGCTCTGCTTTGTTTAGCTAGCACTCTGTTCCGTTTAGTTAGCACTCTGATCTTTAGCTAGCACTCTATTCTGTTTAGCTAGCACTCTGCTTTGCTTAGCTAGCGCTCTGCTTTGCTTAGCTTGCACTCTGCTTTGCTTAGCTAGCTCTCTGTTCAGTTTAGCTAGCACTCTGTTCTGTTTAGCTAGCGCTCTGCTTTGTTTAGCTAGCGCTCTGCTTTGTTTAGCTAGCATTCTGCTTCTTTTAGCTAAGGTTCTGCTTTTAGATTTGTTCTGCTTCTTTTAGGTTGCATTCTGCTTAAACCAGCATTGTTTTAGCTCGTGTTGTTTTTAGCTTGTGTTGTGCTTTTAGCTTGCCTTTCTGCTTGTCTGCTTCTTTTAACAGCTCACTTTCAGCTCCTTCCTGCAGCGCTCTGCGTTCTTCTGGTTAAAACAAAGTGGATCTAGTTTTTCTTGCTGAGCCGTTTTATTTTTTTTCTTTAAATTGTTTGAAGTCCTCACATCTCTGTTGATGTAATTTTTTTTGTTTGTTTTTAACTCAGAGATCAGAACAAATACAAAGAGGCAGCAAACCTGCTGAACGATGCCTTGGCCATCAGGGAGAAAACTCTGGGAGTTGACCATCCGGCTGTAAGTAGAGCTGCTGAAAATAAATCAGCTTAAAATCTTTAGAAACAGATTAAACCTGAGTTTGTCTTTATTGGACTTTATTCAGTATTCTGAGTGAAACATAAGGTGTGTGTGTGTGTGTGTGTGTGTGTGTGTGTGTGTGTGTGTGTGTGTGTGTGTGTGTGTGTGTGTGTGTGTGTGTGTGTGTGTGTG